ACTATTTTAACAAGAAACACGTGAATTAAGTTAAGGATAAAACAAAACTAGGTCAATTGGGTTCCTGATACCAGGTGAGGGTCATTGAACTTTTAGAGAAGGGTTAGGGTCTTAGTACTTATGGTTATGGTTAGGCTTAGGGTCAGGCTTAGGATTTAGGTCTAGGGTTAAGATTAATTTTCTAGTTTAGGATAGGTTAGGGTTAGTTACAGGTCAGCTTCAGGGTCAAAATGAGATTTCTCCCAACAATTAGAAACTAAGTATGTGTGAAATATAAACTATGGCACTTTTCATTTTTTGTATTTTTATTTTATTGTAGAGATGAGGTACAGAAGGGTTACAGTTACATGAGTAAGTTAATGAATACATTTTTTTTGGGGTCATGGGCTTGAACTCAGGGTCTAGGCACTGTCCCTCAGCTCTTTAGCTCAAGGCAAGTGCTCTACCACTTGAGCCACAGCACCACTTCCAGTTTTCTGGTGGTTTATTGGAGATAAGAGTCTCACAGATTTTTCCTGCCTGGGCTGGCTTTGAACCATGATGTTAGATCTCAGCCTCCTGAGTAGCTAAGATTACAGGCGTGAGATACTGGCCCCCGGCAAGTACATTTCTTTTTTGACATTGTTTCCCACTCTTTTGTTGTTCTCCCACTATCCCATCTCTCCCCACACCTCCCCTCTGAAGTTGTAAAGTTCATTTCCCACATAATGTCTTGTAAGTATCATTGTTGCAGTGGGTCATCCTTTGTCCTTCTTGAGCATTTTGATATTTCCCTTCCCTTCCCCAAATAAGATAAATGAATATACAAGATGGAGAGTACCAGAATCAAAGATAGAGATTGCCAGGGATAAACCAATGGAAAAATAACAATGAAATAGAATAAGAAGAAAGAACTAGATACAGTACATCGGTGACAACAAGGCCAACAACCAGAAAAAAAGACCTGTTGTTTCCATGTCTTGGTTCATTTCAATTAGCATCACTTTGTATGGTCATTTGTACATAGTTATTGAGCTATTATAATTCTCTGCCAGGACTATCCTAGGCATATACTAATAGTTACAAATGAGGGAAACCATAGAGCCTATATTTCTTTGGGTCTGGCTTACTTCACTTCATATGATTTTTTTCCAAATCTTTTCATCTCTTTACAAATGGGGCAATGTCATCCTTTCTGATAGAAGCATAAAATTTCATTGTGTATATACACCACATTTTCTTTATCCATTCATCTATTGAGGAGCATCTGGGTTAGTTCCATACTTTAGCTATGGTAAATAATGCTGCAATGAATATAGTTGTGCTGGTAGCTTTAGGGTGGCCTAGCTTTAGGTCCTTTCAATAAATGCCCAGGAATGGAATTACTGGATCATATGGGAGTTCTATGTTTAGTCTTTTGATGAACCTCCATACTGCCTTCCAGAGTGGTTGAACCAGCTTGCATTCCCACCAACATTGTAATAGTGTTCCTTTATGACCACATCCCCAAAAGCATCTGTTATTAATTTTTTCTTTATTATAGCCATTCTTTTTTTCTGAGAAAACTTGCAATCGCAAAATTTATTTTTGTTAGACTTCACATAGAACTCCCCTATGACCCAGCAATCCCACTTTTGGGCATTTACCCTAATGTTTACAAAAAAGACCACATTAAAGCTACCAGCACAACTATGTTTATTGCAGCATTATTTACCATAGCTAAGATATGGAACCAACCCAGATGCCCCTCAGTAGATGAATGGATCAAGAAAATGTGGTATATATACACAATGGAATTCTATGCCTCCATCAGAAAGAATGACATTTCCCCATTTGTTAGGAAATGGAAAGGCTTGGAAAAAATTATATTAAGTGAAGTAAGCCAGGCCCAAAGAAACATAGGTCCCATGGTTTCCCTTATTTGCAATATCTAGTATAGGTATGAGTCAAGCGGAAAAAGTCAGAGAATGTGATGTTAGGAAAACGAGCCCTCAAATATGTATTTTAATGTTTTTGCTTCTTTCATGCATGTGTTTCTAACGCATTTATAAGATTATTTCTTTGTTGCTTTGTATGTCCCTCCCCCACAGTGTAACCCCCGCTTTCACTATATTTGATGTCAGTATAACATGTGGAGGAGACGGGGACAAACAAGTCGTTTAAGGATTCAGGTGGACCTGTTGTAACAATGAGAAGTACAAAATGTCATGTCAAAACCAGCTTTACAATGTCGATGTGGGGGGGGAGGGGGGTATGATTGGGTGGGGGGGAGGGGGGAGGCTGGGAAGGGAGGTGAAGGGTAAACAAAGGAGGAGGCTGCAATGCTTGGTAAGAAATGTATGCATTATCCTGCCCATGTAATTGTAACCCCTCTGTACAGTATGTTCTCAAATAAAATAAAATTAAATTAAAAAAAATTATTTTTGTTATGAAATATATGAACATGTCAAAATACAATAATTTACAAGTTATACAATGTTTGGAGAAAGTTAATTCACAAGAATTAACTTCAGTTCTTTATAAGCAGCTTTTGAGACTGTTCTCTACAAAGAAAAGGACAGAACGTGGGCATTTTGATTGTTGCTGCTAAAACGGTGGCTTTAAAAATCCAAAACAAAGTTCGTTTTCAATATAGTGTCCTGTACATCTCGTCGTCAAAGTGGGTCAGCCTGCATTCTCATTTAAGCGTTCTGCAATATCTCTTCCCCTTCCCAAATTACAAAAATATATATACAAGGTGCAGAGCACCAGCATCAAATCCAGTGAAAACCGGGGTTATACCATGGGTGAAGAAGATACAATAGAAACAAAAGAATCACATAGTGTATTGTAAGTATATTAAAAAAAACTAGGAAGGAAAAAAAAACCTTCTTGTGTCCCTGTCTTGGGGTACATTTTGCTTAACATTATCTCATATGTATATAACCTTTGACCTACTCTGCTTGTCCTAGACATGTACTGGTCACTGCAAACAAGGGGAACCATGGGACTTGTATTTCTTTGGGCCTGGCTTATTTCACTTAATATGATTTTTTCCATCTTTCCATTTCCTAACAAAAGAGGCAATGTCATTTTGTTTTTGATGGAGGCATAGAATTTCATTGTGTGTGTATGTGTGTGTGTGTGTGTGTATCACATTTTCTTGATCCATTCATCTACTGAGGGGCATCAGGGTTGGTTCCATATCTTAGCTATGGTAAATAATGCTGCAATAAACATGGTTGTTCTGGTAGCTTTGGTATGACCCTGTTTGTGATTATTTGGGTAAATGCCCCAAAATGAGATTGCTGGGTCATAGGGGAGCTCCATGTGGAGTTCTTTTGAGGAACCTCCATACTACTTTCCAGAGTGGTTCAACAAGTTTTCAATGTTGGGATGGGAGGTGGGGTGGGAGGAGTTGGGGAAGTGGGGAGGAAAGTGATAGTAGGGGGGAAATAAAGGAGGAGGTAACAATGCTCGTTATGAAATGTACTCATTGCTCTACTTATGTAGCTGTAACTTCTCTGTACAACATTTTTTTCCCTGATATTTATTTATTTATATTGTGAAAGTACCGTACAGAGGGGTTACAATTACATGGGCAAGGTAATGAGTGCATTTCTTATCAAGCATTGTTGCCTCCTCCTTTGTTTCCCCTTCCCATCCCTTCCCATCTCTCCCCCTCCCCCACCCCTGCAAAAGTTGTATAGTTCGTTTTTCGACATAACGACTTGTACATCTCGTTGCAATGGGTCCACCTGTATCCCTATTTAAACAATTTGATTTTTTCCTTCCCCTCTACAAATTATACCAACATCAAATACAATGGAAGAGGGGTTATACTGTGGGGGAGGGACATACAAAGCAACAAAGAAATCTTATAAGTATGTTAGAAACAATCACAAGAAAGAAAAATAAACATTTGAGTCCTTATCTTGGGGTTCATTTCACCTAACATCAACATCTGAACTTTTCTGCTTGTCTCAGAGATATACTACTTATTGCAAATAAGGGAAACCATGGGACCTATGTTTCTTTGCGCCTGGCTTACTTCACTTAATATAATTTTTTCCAAGTCTTTCCATTTCCTAAGAAATGGGGCAATGTCATTCTTTCTGATGGAGGCATAGAATTCCATTGTGTATATATACCACATTTTCTTAATCCATTCATCTGTTGAGGGGCATCTGGGTTGGTTCCATATCTTAGCTATGGTAAATAATTCTGCAATAAACATGGTTGTTTTGGTAGCTTTGGTATGACCTTGTTTGTGATTATTTGGTTAAATGCCCCAAAGTGAGATTGCTGGGTCATAGGGGAGCTCCATGTGGAGTCTTTTGAGGAACCTCCATACTACTTTCCAGAGTGGTGCAACAAGTTTACAATGTTGGGGAGGGGGGTGGGGTGGGAGGAGTTGGGGAGGTGGGGAGGAAAGTGATGGTAGGGGGAAAATTAAGGAGGAGGTAACAATGCTCACTATGAAATGTATTCATTACTCTACTCATGTAATTGTAACCATTCTGTTCAACATTTTTACAATAAAAAATTAACAACAAAAAATACAAACAATCCTAAGGGACTGTTGTGAACAATAATACGATGAGAAACTGACAACATGAACACATTTCTGAGCCACACATTGTCTACCAAAACTAAACCAGGATGACATAGAAAACATGAACACATGAATAACAAGTAATAAGATTAAGTCAGTAATAAAGTCTCTCAACAAAGAAAAAAAATCAAAATCAAAACAATTTTTTGAATAAAAATTTGAGTATAATATCTACATTTTTTTCAGTGTAACAAGAAGATGTACTGGAACTTACAATTTTAATAGTGTATTAGAATTAGAGTAGTTTGGAGCAAAAGAATATTACTGATTTTAAGATGGATATAAAACACAATAAAATACGAAGACTTTTACAGTTTAACCAAATACCAGTTAATATTTTTTCTTTTCTCTTCACAAATTGACACATAACACCAAATTGTTCTTTTGAAGTTTACATGAAAGTCTATTGTTCTTCAAGTCCTAAAAATAGGCTACATTTTTTAGGAGGTAGGAAACAAATTACAAAACTCTACCCTTTGGTTAACCTCCTCCTCCTATCCCTTACTTTGGGCTTTGACCTTGGATTTCTACATTTGTCATTACCCATTCTCTCATTAAAGCTATTAGTTCTACTACTACTCATTTACCTAAATTTATACCTGGAGCTGCAAAGAAAAATGGTTTTAAGAAGTTTTTTTTTTTTTTTTTTTTGTCGGTTATGGGGGCTGAACTCGGCCTGGGCGCTGTCCCTCAGCTCTTCAGCTCAAGGCTATTTACCTACCACTTGAGCTACAGTGCCACTTCTGGCTTTTTTTCTGCTTATGTGGTGCTGAGGAATCTAACCCAGGGCCTCATGCATGTGAGGCAAGTTCTCTACCACTGAGCCAACTTCCCAGCCCCGAAGTTTTGCTTTTAAGTCACTAAATGAACCATATACTCAGGTATCAACTGAGAATGTTTTGCACACCTCTAGTCAACAAAAGAAAATATGAAAGAAAAAGACTACCAAATGCTTCTACATGCAACTCAAATATGTCAGAGTTGTTATGCAAACCTATACTGACCAAAAATAAGTACATATTTCACTATAAAATTAAGCTAATCACAAAAAATTCCACTCTTTTGTGGGGCACATGGGCAGCAAAGATGGCAGAGAGGGAGTGAGCAGAACCCGAGTTGTTTACATTAAAATCTGATTGGATGAAGCTTAGGCTCATGATAGGGTGTGACCTTTATAGTGATTGGTTGGTTCCTTTTCCTCCCCTTTTATGCCTCGAGGTTTTTCCGATTTAAAAGGTGCTTGCTCTGTGGTAATAAATGAGTTCTTGCTTGGCTTGACTCCCCGCTGCATCTGATTGTCTCCGGGGCTAAGGGAGGCTGGGAAACGGGTGAGTGGCACATTTCCTTTCCTCGGACCCCGTCTGTCTTTCTTGGGGCGGACGAAGACCCAACACTCTTTCCCCAGATATCTGTGTTGTGCTAATATTCTATTACATAAAGATTCCATTTTTAAAATAGGCTGGATTCACAGTCAGTATGTTAGTACCAAGATCATGTTTAATACTACTAAAAGAATGTCATCAGGGCTGGGAAGGTGGCTCAGTGGTAGAGTGCTTGCCTTACATGCATGAGGCCCTGGGTTCGATTCCTCAGCACCACATAAGCAAAAAGCTGGAAGTGGCGCTATGGCTCAAGTGGTAGAGTGCTAACCTTGAGCTGAAGAGCTGAGGGACAGTGCCCAGGCCCAGAGTTCAGGCCCCACGACCGGACCCAAAAAAAAAAAAGAATGTCATCAGTGGAATGTGTATATAAGGCATGTAAAAAACTAGCATTAAAGCTCTTGAGGGCAACAATCCAAAGTAGCAGCTGTGTCAAAAGGTGCTGTTAGAAATACAAAAATATTAAAGAAATTTCTTTATAGCACATATTTCTAGTGCTTTTATAAAGAAAAGCTTTTTAATGAAATGTATTATTTTGAATATAAAGTTCTGTTACTGGAACTAATGAACTTAATAAAGCATGGACTTGTGCCCCTACTTAGTGACTATTAGACCAACCTTGAAAACAGCAATCACTGGCAATCTTCCACAGTGTTATTATTAGAAGCGGTCTGAGCTATCAGCAGGAAATTCTGGTTAAAGTAGTGTTGTTTGTTCCCATCAAACTTGACGGTTCCACTAGTCACAACAAGAACTGTAGAGTGGCACTGTGTAGCAGGCTCATGAATTGGTTGGCAATCTAACATATTAACCTGGGACTAACTAGAAGGCAACATTTCGAAGAAATGTATTAGCTCAACCCAGTAACATTTCCATTCCAAATTAAAGTAGCCCTGCCAGATGCAGTCGGATAAATGCCCTTGTTCTTTTGTCTATTATATTATAGTAAATACTCACAAATTCCTCAGCAGCTCTACATGTGTGGTCTGTGTGTTTTAAAATCCACAAACATGCCTGATGGTCCTGAACCACACTTTTTCAACCGTGGGTGTCTCCCTTTTCTCCTACTTGATCAATTCTTTGGGCTCGCTCCACTCTTTGCTTTTGCCCCTGTCTCTCCACCCCATTCTCTTCAGGTCTATTATAGCCATTCTAACTGGAGAGAAGTGGAATCTCAATGTTGTTTTGATTTGCATTTCTTTTATGTCCAATGATGTTGAGCATTTCTTCATGCATCTATTGAACATTCTTATATTCTCTCCAGAGAAGTCTCTTACTAATTCTTTAGCCCACTTATTAATGGGGTGATTCTTCCTTTGGTGATTTTTTTATGGGGAGGGTGTTGATTTTTGTGAGCCCTAGCTATATTTTTGATATGAAACCCTTTTCTGTTGTATAGCTACTGAAGATATTCTCCCAATCTGTGGGATTTCTATTTATCTTGCTAGCTATGTCCTTTGCCAGGCAAAAGATCTGCTGTTTAATGCAATCCTATTTATACAACCTTTCTTTGATTTGTTGTGTTTGATTTGTTGTGGAACTTTATTTAGAAGTTTCGCTCTTTGCTGAAGAGCCCTAGTGTATGTCATATCCCTTCCTTTAATGTTTTTAGGGTTTCTGTTTTTACTTTGAGGTCTTTGATCCACATAGAGTTGATTCTGGTGCAGGGTGATATATAAAGGTCTAACTTCAGTTTTCTATATGTGTGTAGCCAATTCTGCCAGTACCATTTGTTGAAGAGGCTGTCTTTCTTCCATCTGATAATTTTGGTTCCCTTATCGAAGATTAGGTGGCCATAGGTCTGTGGGATCATGTTTGGGTCTTCAATTCTATTCCATTGGTCCCCAGGCCTGTTTCTGTGCCAGTACCACGATTTTTAAAAAAAATAACTACAGCTTTATAATAGAGTTTGAAGTTTGGCATTGATATTCCTCCAGCATTGTTATTCTTGGTAAGGATTGTTTTTGATATTTAGGGTCTTCTATTGTTCCATATTAATTTTTGGATTGCTTCTGCTATTTCATTAAAGTATGTCGTTGGGATGTTATAGGTATTGCATTGAATTTGTAGATAGCTTTGGGCACTATTTCCATTTTTACGATGTTAATTCTCCCAATCCAGGAGCATGGGAGGTTTTTCTCTTCCTTAAGTCTGCTTTAATTTCCTTTTATAAGTTTTTAAAGTTTTCACATAGAGGTCCTTGACCTCTTTGGTTAGGTTTATTCCTCAGTATTTTTTTTTAGAGGCTATTACAAAAGGAGTTGCTTTTTTATTTCAGCTTTCCTCTTCTTATTGTTGGCATACACAAAAGTTACTTTTTTTGGGTTAATTTTATACCCTGCTACTTTGCCAAAGTTTTGGATTAAGTCAAGTAATTTCAGAGAGGAGTCAATGGGGTTCTTTAAGTACAGGATTATGTCATGTGCAAAGAGGGAGAGTTTTACTTCTTCTTTACTTATTTGGATACCTTTTATGTTTGTGTCTTGCCTTATTGCTCTAGCTAGGAATTCCAATACGATATTGAAGAGGAGTGAATAGAGTGGACATCCTTGTCTCATTCCTGATTTTAGAGAAAATGTTTTTAACTTTTCACCATTAAGTATTATGCTGGCTCTACGTTTGTTATATATAGCCTTTATAATATTGAATGTTCCGATGGATTCCTAGTTTCTTGAGAGCTTTCATCATAAAGGGGTGTTGAATCTTGTCAAATACTTTTTCTGCATCTATTGAGATGATCATGTAGTTCTTGTCCCTGCTCCTATTGATGTGTTGAATTACATTAATTGACTTGCATAAATTGAGCCAGATTTGCTTCCCTGGAATGAATCCTGTTTGGTCATAGTGTATGATTTTTTTGATTAGACGTTTTAGTCAGTTAGCCAGAATTTTATTAAGAACTTTTGATTAATGTTCATTAAAGAGATAGGTCTATAGTTCTCTTTTCTTGATGGGTCCCTATCAGGATTTGGGATGACGGTTATACTAGCCCCATAGAACGAGTCTGGTACTGATCTTTCACTATCAATTTCATCGGAGAGTTTGTGGAATATTGGAGTGAGTTCTCCTTTGAAAGCTTTATAGAATTTAGCTGTGAATCCATCTGGTCCTGGTCTTTTCTTGAGCGGGAGGTCTTCATTGCCATTTCTATTTCAGTATTTGACACTGGTCTGTTTAGTTGGCTTAGATATTCTTGATACATTTTGAGTATATCAATATTCATTAGCAATTCTTCCATTCCTTCCATATTGTCAGATTTGCTAGCATAAAGGTTAGAAAAGTATTCTATTATAATGTTCTGAATCTTGCTTGTTTCTGTTGCGATGTTCCCATTCACATCTCTGATTTTATTTATTTATTTTTTAGATTTTTTTTTAAAGTCTTACTACAGATAATTGAATTTCTTTTCTTTCTTTCTTTTTTTTTTCTTGGGTCCAGTCATGGGGCCCGAACTCTGGGCTTGGGCGCTGTCCCTCAGCTCTTCAGCTCAAGGCTAGCGCCCTGCTACTTGAGCCACAGCACCACTTCCAGGTTTTTCTTTTTTGCTTATGTGGTGCTGAGGAATTGAACCCAGGGCCTCATGCACGCAAGGCAAGCACTCTACCACTGAGCCACCTTCCCAGCCCCTCTGATTTTATTTATTTGTGTGTGTTCTCTTTTCTTTTTGGTCAGATTTGTTAAGGGCCTGCCAATTTTGTTAATTTTTCCAAAGAACTAACTTTTTATTTTGTTGATCTTTGCGGGGTTTTGGTCTCGAATTTAATTTTGCTTATTTGTTTCTGCCTACTGGGTTGGGGTTTGGCTTGCTGATCTCTTTCAAGGAGTTTCATATGTATCATTAGGTTGTTGGTTTGAGATTTCTCCAATTTGTTAATGTAGAAGCTCAGAGCTATAAATTTTCTTCTGAGAACAGCCCTTGCTTTAATCCAGAGGAGCTGGAAATTTGCATGTTCATTTTTATTAAATACTATGACCATTTCAATTTCCTTTGTAATGTCTTCCATGGCCTACTGGAAATTCAACAATGTGTTGTTTAGTCTTCATGTGTTTCAGAATTTTCTTTGATAGCTTTTGGTGTTGATCTATAATCTCATTCCATTTGGTTTTAATTTGTATAGATTTGCTTTGTGACCTAAAATGTGGTCTATTTTGGAGAATGTTTCATGGGCTGCTGAGAAGACTGTGTATTCTGATGCTGCTGGGTGAAATATTCTGTATATTTCTTTTAAGTCTAATTGATCTATGCAGTTGTCTAGATCTGAGGTTTTTCTGTTGAGTTTTTGCTGGGTTGATCTATCCAGAGGGGAAAATGATGTGTTAAAGTCCCCAACAATCAATGTTTTTGGATCTATGTGGGATTTAAGGGAAATTAGTGTTTCTTGGATAAATTTGGGGCTCCATTATTTGGTGAATAGATATTTAGAATTGCTATATCCTCCTGTAGGAGCGATCTCTTTATTAGCATATAATGAACTTATTTATCTCTTCTCACTAATTTTAATTTGAAGTCTATTTAATCTGACATTAGGATTGCTACTCCAGC